CGCGCAACGCCACTCACCGTGCGCGCCAGCGTTCCTGCTTGCGCTCTCGGCCGCGTTACCTGCTGCTGCGATAGATCAGCTGCACCGCCGTTGGCTCAGCGTTGCAGCTGATCAATCGGAGGCTCCTAGCGCGAGCCCCTAATACTCAATTTGATACTAGCGTTGATCGGGAGATCATAAGTTCGAGCCCCTAATGCTTCTATTTACGTCAAATAGAGAAAGTGCTGTAATGCTGCAAAAACTAACTTCCTTTAATACATATCTAGTCTGAATCTGCGTTTTCCGAGTCCTTAGTCTCAAAAAATTGATATGTCAAAGCGTCTGTCCATCTGAACAACGCTAGCGGCTGAGCTGAGAATTATCACCAAATTTAATAATCTCCCCTGATTGGATTTTTTAAAAATATTTTTGGTATAAAAGCCTTGAAGCCTCAACATTTTTAAAATTTCGTGAAATATGGTTCAATTTTTTAAAACTTTTTTCTCAAGTGTGCACATCTTCAAAGTGCTTCTGATTCTTTAAAGTTCTCTTCTAAAATAGTGCAGGGGCCATTTCTGTTGGACTTTTGGTTGAATTTTCGAAAATTGCACATGTTGAATATTTTTCCACGTCTTCCTGCAATTATAGTATCGAAGGTAGAGATTTTCTTCTTAATAAAATCTAATCTTCAAAATTAAATTTTTAAATGAGATCATGCACATTTTTTTGTAAATATTTCGCGTGATTTTGCGTAAAATAAATACCATTTTAAAAACATTTTCTAAAAAATGATTTTTTTTTCTTGAAATTTATGTCTAAGATATTGTGAGGTTATAACACTTGCTCAGGTCCGATTTTCGCTGAATTATCTTTTTTTTTTTTTTTTTTTTTAAAAATCACAAATGCCGGGGCAATATCTTAACAAACAGGCTACCGACCGCGCACGATGTATATTTTCTGATCTTTGAATCCTCCTCTTCCCGACTTTGGGCAAGCACGCATGCACGAATGCATGCATATATACAAGCGCGCGCGCACACACACACTCACATTTACGTGCCCTAAAGAACTACACTCGTCGGGAGCTTAAAATCTTCCTAGCTCCAGCGGAGTTCCGTTGGGGAAGAGACCTGGACTTGGAGGGGAACTTCCACCACATCTCGCGTTCTAGAGAGGGAAGAACATCGCCACCTCCCGGGATATAACATGGCCTTACGGGACTAATGACCACGTTAACGCGCGTTAGCGTTAATCAATATCACTCTCCCTCGCCCGCGGTCTCGCTTGTGCTCTAGTCCGCCTTCTCTTTGGCGTTCTCGCTTGCATTCACGCTCTCTGCAATCCTTTCTCTTCGCCTGCGCCCTCTCCTATCCTTCGTCCTTCTCCTTTTCCCCTTCAAACTCCCTTTTGTCCTTCTTTGATCACCCTCCCCCTTTCACCCTAGCTACTGGCGTTCCGTCCGCACTTGTAATCCTAACCCGTTTACACCCACGTTTTCTCCTATTTTTGCTCCTACCTTCGACATTTCTTGCCCGTAGTGTCTACGGTCGCTTTCTTTGATCAAAGCACTAGTTCTCGTAGCGCACTATGCCTCCCTCACTCCTTGCTCCAGCTCACGTCCCTTGCACACTATGTCAATATGTAAAGGTTCTTCACACCAACGCCCTAAACTGCGTCTGTGAATTATCTCTCGTTGGCCCTTTCACCGCTCACGACTTCAGCCGCCAGACAGCGAAGCTTCCTTCGGTCGCGAGATGTAGAAGATGCTTAAGTACCCCTGCGCCACTTCTTGAATCAAGAACGATTCCTGAGTTGGTCATGATTTGGTCAGGATGTAATAATGTTTTCATTGTACAGTTGTTGTCGAAGCATTGTTTAAAAGGCGTGAGGTATGAGTTGAGTGAAATAGTTTTTCTGAGACACACCGTTATCTGGAGCAATGACACTATGCATTCATGCTCATTAACTGGCACAACGATTAGTTAGATACAGTTTCACCAGCCTGATTCTAACTGGTCGTGGCACTATTTAAAGGTCACCGTCAGTCTGTAATGTGTATCACGGAATGTGTCAATAACGTATATCATTTGTCCATAATATAAAAAAGATTATGTAACGCTTGTAAAAAAAGTCATAAATTGTCTTTTGTAATGATCTTATAACGATTTCCACAAAAATATGAGAAAGGAGAGGAACGATGTTAATCAAATAGTAATTTTTGAATGTTAATCAAATTGTAAATTTTACAGAATGAAATATACATAGGGCATTCGGGAAATGTCAAACTTACGAAAGGAATATAATTTGAAGTAAAGCTACTGTAAATTATATCAAATTAATTCAAAAGCCTTATGATGAAATTAGATGTTTTCTAGACTTAGGAGAAAGATAGAGAGAATCAATAAACTTAATTATTAGTACCTGCGTTTCCATAGCTAGGCAGCAGCTTCTCTTGAAGACATATTAGGTACACGATGATGGAGCCGAAGATGAATCCAGTCAGGAACATCACAGCCTTGAAGCAGCGGTATCCTGCGCACACCACACAAAATTCGTTAGAGTAACCGCCACGTTCCAAAGACCATGTGTCATTTCTTTCGAGAAGAGGAATTTAGGGAAATATATGGGGTGTAATTTGGGGTTGAAAGATGCGCCATTCCGAGAAACTTGTATGAAGAGGAACATGAGACTAAAAAATTGTACATAAAATTGGCCGATAGAACAAAAGGCTACTAAGAAAACAGAAACGTCTTCTAGACTCCTGCATTTCTCTGTAAAAATGGTGCAATGTACATTTTAAATGTGTTCTACAATACTTACGTATTCGCTGAATCTTTACAAGACTTTGGATTATAGATAATTAAATAAATTCCTTGATTATTCCACAAAAAACTTGTCTTCACAAATTTTAACCCAGCGAGGCCATGGAAAACTGCGTGAAAAATGTGTGCTCTGCAGTATTGTATGAAGTCTAACAAGTTTGCAGACACATTTCATTGATGTAATGAATGTTGTTTTGCAAGACGAGAATAACTTTTAAAAACGTATTTTTGCTCGTTCGTCTTTTGATATTTTTAATAAAAGAAAAGTGTTAATTAGCGTTTCAATGAAGTTTCTTCGGAAGTAATGAATTGAATGTAATGAACGAGATGAATCGAAATAACACTTCCTTTGAATTTTTAGACGGAGGACATGAAATGTTGCCTAAGAAGAAAATAATTTAACTATAGTAATAATCGTACATAATAAAGTAATTCAAAGTTTGCATCAGTGATGAGTCAAGTCTAATGGAGGCTCCACAAAGTTTGGACCCTCAAACTCAAGTTAGAAATAGAACTTTCAAGAAAACTCTTAAAAACGTATTAACGAAAACTGTGATATGAAATTGAATATCGTTACACATTAAACACATTTATTTAATACATATTATTTCGTGAATTTCACCCATGCGGAAATCGATATACTTGAAATCTATTATGAACCTGGAAAATTAACGTTCCTTGAAAGTATCGTTGAGCAGTGTGGGGTTACTTTTTTTGTACACCCCCCCCCCCAAAAAAAAGCAGTTTTGAATTTGGGGCCTTATGATATACCGGAGCTTCATGCAGTTACATATTCCGCTTACCATTAAACCCATCACTGAGTTACAGATATCACATTCACATCCAACAAAGCGGATTAATCGAATTAACAACCTCCTTTCCCTCACTCAGGGGTTTTTTGATTACATTCGCGCAAATTTTTTCCAAAACCGTCCCGCAGATATTATGCACCGATCTAATAATTTCCTGACAATTCTGAATATTTTGCCGAATTCAGGAAATCACCTCTGCATGCGGAATATTGCGACGATCAATGAGTAACCAATGCAGAAAACAGATACGTTGAATTTTGCTTTTCAGCGTGCATTGTAATATTGTTAACGTGTTATTCAGAATAACACATTAATTCTTAAATTACCAATAGAAATTTTGTTATAAATCACAACAATTATTAAATTATCGAGGGAAATTTTGATAGAAATCGATTGTATTTTTTTGTAAAAGTTTAAATTTACCTTAATTTCATTTTGAAAGTGATGACTATCACCTGACCAAGAAGACCAATAGGAAAGAAGCGCATTTTTGATTCGACATTCTTAGTCCCGGAACCGTTACAAGTGGAAATTTGGAGCCTTCATTAACCGGAACACGGTGCAGTTCGATGCCCCGACGCCAAAAGCAGCGCTGTTGACACTTACGTCAGCAACTTCCGCCGCGTGCACGACTTAACCGGACCCTCGCTGCTAACAACGGAAGCGCAGTCCCGTTAAGTCGCGTTAACGTGCCGCTCCACGCTTGCCGCCTCACTGCTACCTTACGCGTCGCTCCATCCGAGGGTCTTCGGCGCACGGGGACGCGCTTTTCCTGTCCCGAAGAGCTCGCAATACGACCATGTGAAACATTTTTCTATTTTTTTTTTTACTAGCACGTCATTGCTTGAAATTGCCTTTGATACGGAGCTCGATCTACACTTGTAACTTGCCTGAATCGAGAGAATCGTGGTTACGAGGGAAATATGAAAACAGTTGAAAAGTGATAAGTTAATTAGTAAATAAGTCAATCTGAATCATGAAAGTTACGTAAAAAATCTTGTCTCTACCACGGACCAAAGATCCTCGGGCATTTTGTCCCCGCCCGATCAACAGAACCTTTCTTTTCCATTATTAATTATTGTTAGATCCTGCCTAATGAAATTCGTCTTGAATTAATGAATTAATTAATCACCTTCCGGTGTTTAAAAAACTTTACTCTGAATTATAACATATGTTTAAACAATATTTGATGGCGAAGGAAATGTTTTTACTTGAGCAATGTTCTCTCGAGACCTATGGTCGGACAGCACTCCGTTCCAGTGATGGACTTGAGGGGTGCAGCAAAATATGTAAAAAAATACGAGGGAAGGAAAGCTATAAAAAATAAAACAAATAAATGGATTCCATTTAAATTTGTTGATCCACGAATACTGCATAATAGATGTGTCGAAGTTGAACAAGAAAATATGAAGATATAAACATATGATTGCAAGCGTTTGTGAAGTGTACCATTATCCAATTCTACTGAAAGACTTCCAGCATTTTTTCTTAACTAAGATCCACATAGAACTATTAACTCAGGGACATACGTACATATATCTCTCCTATTTTCATACCATAAAAGAAAATCATTAGTTTCTTGTAGGCAGCGGAAAAATCAGGTTAATGAAGAAAAAATAGTTCTTGTGGTCGTTTTACTAATATCTCCCCCCCCCAAGAAGTTCATATTTTTAGCATTGCGATAGGACGTAGTAAGTCCTCTTCGTGGAACAGATAAAATCATTCCAGTGTTTGCTTCTCGGCTGTGCGTTTGAAACATCCTATTTCCACGTTTGTGAAAAGCCATTCTATGCCAAAAGCCATACCATCAACTAATGTCGTTGTCGGTTCTAGGGTTCGAGTCCCGATGTGATAGGATTTTCGACACAACGTAAACAGCCAAGTTGAATTCAGCTGCTGACGGGAGGAGAATTCTAGCGACCGGCTACAATTCTCCGATCGGTAGTTTTCCCTGGTTTCTCCGATCAACACCAGGCAAATGCCCGAGCATAACCTAACAAATGGACCACGACACGCGCGATCTTTCCTTTCTCTTCCTTGTTTTAACCTCGCCTCTTTATTTACAACCAAACTTACCAAACGGGGCCCTACACTACCCCGAACGTCGGTGACCGTTGGAAGCTTAGAGCTTGTCCCGGTTGGAGCGGTGCCCCGCTGGTAGGAGATACTTGGATGAGGGAAAACTCCGCCAGCTATCGTGTAGGTCGGTACCGGATTTCACCATCTAGCTGGGAAAGGTTCCCACCGCCTACGGTGATTCGAACATGTACTACACTAACTGGACTAATGACCATGACACCGCCCCAGAAGCACGAAATAATCAATCATCCATCGGGATGGTATTAAATTCTGTGTATCCAATCGTCGGAATCATCTTGCGGAAAAAATAATTTACACCTCTTCAAATATATATTCTTAAAGTGTAAATCAGAGGTGTCCACTTGCAAGCCTCAAGGGCCAGAACAAAAACCTTTAATATAGTTGCGGGCCATATTTTCATTAATCAGGTCTACTCGTGACCCGTGGCGAACCACACGCAGTTAGCCCGGCTGCTCTGATACGGGGCGGGGGGATGGAACTATGCTTAATATGAGGCCGTACCATGCATATCGCAGTGAAAACATTGAAATGACTTTGAATTTATGAATTTACTAGAAAAAAATCGTTTAATCTAAACTTAAACTATTGCGACAGGGCTTATGCGACAATGTTCTCGCCCGATATGGATGCAAGGGACATTCACATTTGACTAAATAATCTGTCGCCAGTGGGACAATCCTGCTGTAAATGAATAAATCAAGTTTTTACTGATTTACACTGTATGGAAAACGAATTCTTTGTACTGAGTATTAACCGACGAGCGACCGAATGTTTTACATATCGACAGACAGAGGAGCGAGAGTATATAATTTAGTACAGGAATCTCGAACGCTCAATTTGAATCAGTTCCGCTTCCTCTAGAGACTCAGGTGCAAACATGCCTCACCTTCGTATGCCATTACGTACGAAAATCGCGGAACAGCAATACGATGGCGCAGTTCGTATTTTTTCTCATTTCCGAGACGGAGTTCTGGAAAATGGTTGAGTCAGATTGGCGCGCGGCTTCAGAGAATTAGCGGCTTCGCCGCGCAGACGGCGGAGACGTGCAGCTCTCGACCGACACGTAATGAGGCCGCTGGAAAAGCCCCTGGATCACGTGCCCCACTTTGCTCGAGTCGATTCTCCTGCGGAGCTGCCCTCTGACGAACTCCTTCATCCTTGACAATTGCTTCGAAATTGTATCAAACGTTTCTGTAAATATTCGTAATTATTTTTGAAATAAAATTGCGGAAATACTGACGAAATACTCATGAAATTGTGAAAAATACGCAGAGAATTATCTGTTGGCATTCGTTGTTGTGAAAATAACTAGCAAAGACACTAAACATTGACATTTTCAGAAGAGATAGACTCGTATTTTGAAGAATCACAGCATAATTTAGAAAGTCGTAAAATATAGCTGATGATGTTTTATACTACTAATGTGTTTAATAAAATAGTTATACCACTCGTCATGACACATTTTGTTATTTTTCCGTCAATGTGCGTTGATGTTGCCTTTATTTGTGTCTTGGAATCCTTCTCTTTGTACCTTTGCGGCGTCAAATTGATGGTAGGTTTACGTGGATTATCCATCATTAAGAACACCCTTCTACTACCCGAGACTCTTCACGAATTTCCAGAGAGCATGAGAGATACGATTCTGAGAATTTCCTAGTACATAAGACTTCAGTATTACGTCGAATACGAAACCGGAACAGATAACGATACAAGATATGGCAGGTAGCCAATTCATCGTTTAGGATAAACATAAATTTTATATAGACATTTTACATTTTGAGTGAACAATAAATTGTAA